ACAGCGTAGGAGGGGATTTCCGCCGCTCCACGCAGTCTGCGTCCAGCACTGAACCCCGAGGGGCCGTCCCACCTCTGGAACCCCCACTTGATTGCAAAGAGGCCGCTGCTGCAGGTCAAGTCAAGGCCAGAGTCAGACGTGACCGAGGTCGCCCGGGCAGGGAGAAACGGCCGACGACTCCGACAGTCAGGACAACAAACGTACCCACTGTCAGTGCCAGAAATGCAGCTGAGGCCGGGAACCCGGGAGACCCCCTTCACTTAGTAGCCCCCTCATCGGCAAACGGTGAAGACCTCTTGGGGGAGCCAATACGTGTGCGTCTGCCAGGAGTTTCCACGAGTACTGCCCCGGTTAGGAATGAGGGTAAGCAAGGACCAAACGGGGAGGTTACAACGCCACGCACAAGCGCCCTTGGCCAGGGCAGAACACAGGGCAGCGAGCCCTCCTCCCCCACTTCGACGGAAGGTGACCAAATGCCACCTCGAAGCAAGACTACCCCCGTTTCATTGGAGGAAGTAGAAGACGAAGAAGTTCACCTCCAATCCGATATCCCGATCACGCCACCCAAGGGGACGTCTCGTATGACCCCCGCGAAGAAGAGTCAGAACTTATCTTCGCAGGAAGACGGTACCCCACGTTACGAGATCCGGGATATGTACTATGAACCCCATAGTGTACTATGGACCCGCCGGGCGCTTAGGATTGCACGGGGGGACGCAGCCACGTGAGCCGTCCTCAAAGGATGGGTACACCCACGACGGATAGAGGAAGTCACCGATCGGTTGTGCCATCAGCTGGAGGAACAAACCGAGACCGCCGCCCAAGCAAGGGAGCGGTGGGAATGGATGGAAGATCTGAAAAAGGCCCCGATGTACATACGAGGAAGGAAGGGATGGAATGTCTCAATAAAAGTACAATTGGAAACGCTAGATATGAGGGAGATCCATGAGGTGAATGCCCTAGTCGACAGCGGAGCCATGGGTAGTTCCATCGATCATGCCTGGGCCCAGGCACATGACATCAACCTCAAAAAAGCGGCCCGACCGGTCCTGGTCTATAACGCCGATGGAACCAGGAACAAAGGAGGAGACATCACGGAGTATGCCGAAGTGAGGTTACGAATCGGGGACCATGTGGAACGGATCAAACTGGCCGTAGTCGACCTAGGGTCTACACCCCTGTTCCTTGGCCATGATTGGCTGCAACGTCACAATCCGCTAATAGACTGGGACACCGGAGCCATCACCTTAGCACGATGCACCTGTCGCAAAATTCCATTTTCGCTACCTGACACAGATCCCTCCTCTCGGTGGGAAGAATACGAGGAAGGAGACACCATTCTAGTAATAGATTTTGAGGAAGCCTTTCACGTACGAGCTATGGGGACCAAAGCCAATGAGCTGGCAGCTCGAGCTAACTCCAAGAAAGTGGCCAAGTCCTTTGAGGAAATCGTGCCCGAGGAATATCGAGACTTTAAAGACGTCTTTGACAAAGAGAACTTCGATGAGCTACCACCGCGAAAACCCTGGGATCATGCCATCGAGTTAATTCCTAACGCCAACGCCAACTTAGACTGTAAAGTCTACCCTCTCAACCCGGCAGAGCAGGAAGAACTGGATAAATTCCTTGACGAGAACCTGTCCACGGGGCGTATTCAAGCCTCGAAGTCGCCCATGGCTTCCCCCTTTTTCTTTGTAAAGAAGAAAGACGGGAAACTCCGCCCAGTACAAGACTATCGCAAACTAAACGAGATGATGATCAAGAACCGTTATCCTTTGCCACTCATAGGCGAACTCATGGACCGGTTGAAGAAGGCTAAGTACTTCACTAAACTGGATGTACGATGGGGATACAACAACGTGAGGATTAAACAGGGAGATGAATGGAAGGCCGCCTTTCGAACGAATCGGGGGCTCTATGAACCCCTGGTAATGTTTTTCGGGCTCACCAACTCACCGGCAACCTTCCAGTGGATGATGAACGACATCTTCAAGGATCTCATCTCCGCAGGAGAGGTATCGGTGTACCTAGACGATATCCTTATTGTGTCAAAGTCCAAGGTGGACCACAGAAGGATCGTACGAAGGGTACTTCAGATCCTCCGGGAAAATCACCTCTTCCTCAAAGCCGAGAAATGCGAATTCGAAGTGGAGGAGACAGAGTACCTAGGAGTCATCATCAGTGAAGGAAAAATCCGTATGGACCCGGTCAAAATCGCAGGCCTCTTGGATTGGCCAATCCCTCGCAGGAAACAGGAGCTACAATCCTTTCTCGGGTTCTGCAACTTCTACCGATGGTTCATAAGAGACTACAGCAAACACGTTAAACCACTGACCTCTCTGACTGGGAAGCAAGAGTGGAAGTGGGGCGAAGCCCAACAAGGGGCGTTTGAGAAGCTGAAAGAGCTCTTTCGGGAAGACGTGGTACTAGCCATCCCGTTGGATGTAGGACGATTCCGAGTGGAGGCAGATTCAAGCGAAGGGGTGGTTGGGGCGGTACTCTCCCAGTATCAGGATGACAAGTGGCGACCAGTGGCCTTTCTCTCCAAAGCGTTATCCATAACAGAGCGCAATTATGAGATTTACGACAAGGAGCTCCTCGCCATCATGATCGCCTTAGAAGAGTGGCGCCAGTACCTCATGGGAGCAAGGGAAGATTTTGAAATCTGGACTGATCATTCCAATCTTCAATACTTCCGCAAACCCCAAAAACTCAACCGACGACAAGCTCGGTGGGTAACGGAGCTCGTGGAGTATCAATTTACCTTGCATCACAAGCCCGGAGCCCAAAATCGTAAGGCGGATCTCCTATCACGGAGAGCTGACCACGACCAAGGGAAGGAGGACAACCATGACGTGGTGGTCCTCAAGACAGAACACTTTAGGGCCTTAATCATGCCTACCGCTGAAGAGCTGCATGAAAAGATCAAGGCCGCCACGCACGAACCTCGCCGCTGGGACAAGGGGATATCCGACTCCCTTAACCATGAAAAGGGGATCTCACGTGACCAGGACTTGTTATGGTATGACGGGCGGATCTACATACCAGTGGACCGTGACCTTTGTGGGCAAATCATCACCCTTAAGCATGACCACGTCACGGCAGGGCATCCAGGCATTGAAAAAACCAAAGAGTTAATACTTCGAGACTACTGGTGGCCACGCATGCGCCGAGACGTGGAGGCCTATGTAAAGGGGTGCGAGAAGTGTCAACGAACTAAGGCAGATCGTCGACCCAAGAAGGCCCCCCTTCATCCTAACGAAGTCCCCGTACGTCCATGGACTCACATCTCAGTCGATATGATTACCAAACTCCCGACCTCCAAGGGATTCGACTCCATTTTAGTCATAGTAGACCGTTTCTCGAAGGCCATCATCCCTATCGCTTGCACTGAAGAGCTCACGTCCCTAGGCTTCACCAAAATCCTTAGGGACTACGTCTACGTGCCCTATGGTGTGATGCCCGAGAAGGTCATCTCCGATAGGGGGTCGGTATTCGTCTCAAAGTTCATGAAAGAGTTTTACCGACTCCTCCATGTCGAAGGGAATCCCTCCACCGCGTATCATCCTCAGACTGATGGGCAGACCGAACGAGTTAACCAAGAGATCGAAAAATACCTCAAAATGTTCGTTAATGATCAACAGGATGACTGGAGTGAATGGCTACCCCTGGCCGCCTTCACCCATAACAATCGCCAACACTCGGCCACGGGATATTCTCCTTACAAGGTTATCTTCGGGAGAGACGGAGAGGTTATCAAAAAGCCCCAAAGGACGGCCGTGGTCCCAGCAGCAGGGAAACTGGTGGCGGAAATGGGGAAGGCACAAGACAAGGCAAAGAAATCATTGGAAAGGGCTGCGGAATCGATGAAGAAGGCCTACGATAAACACAAGGATGCAGCGGTTGAGTATCATGTTGGGGACAAGGTTTGGCTTGACGCGACCAACCTTCACCTCCCACGTCCAACGAAAAAACTGGGCGACCGACGAGTAGGACCTTTCACTATCGTCGCAAAGCGAGGGGCCTCAGCGTACGAACTCAAGCTACCGGTCGGCTGGAAGATCCACAACCGTTTTAACGAATCTCTCTTAACTCCCTATGTCGCCCCAGCCTTTCCGAACCAACCACACCCGGAGAGACCACCGCCAGAGCTGATTGACGACGAGGAGGAGTATGAGATTGAGGAAATAGTGGAACAGAAGGACAAAATCGTCGGACGCGGTCGCAATCGTCGAACCATAACCGAGTACCTCGTAAAATGGAAGGGTTACCCAATGGAAGAAAACTCGTGGGTGAAACGTTCAAACATGGCCAATGCAGAAGAACTGGTGAACAAATACGAAGCCCATATCCAAAGGATCCTATGGGAAATCAATAAACATGGGAAGACGGTCGGAGTGGACAACAAAATACCTCCCAACGCGATAGCAACTTATCATCAACCGGACACCCCTTGTGTCACGGACGTGGAGACAGTGTATTCCTCCGAATGCACGAACCCACGGCACTCGGAGGCCCAACAAGACTCTTATCCCTCTTCCCATTACTCAAAGATTGACCGGTTGGAAGTCACCTCAGACGACGCAGAAGGAATCCCCATAATAGAACCAGGACAGGAGGGAGATCAGTCAGAGGACGAGGTGGATTTGAACCACCTACAACGTGTATACGAAAATTGGGACTTCGACAGTGAAGTTGACGGCGACGACGATTCCCTCTCTTTCGAAAGTGAATCAGCCAAGAGTGGGAGGGAAACCAAGGACTCATTCGGGACGAACGAGTCTTGAGAGGGGGGTAATGTTACGGTTATTCTTTTCTTTTCCTTTTTCTTTTTCTTTTCTTACACATTCACGCTTACTCTATGGTGCGATTCACATCGGACGTTCTCACAGTACTATTTTTAGTTACCGAACGTGTATTTAAGTAGAAGCCTTAGCTGGTCTAAACCCCAGCTTCGGCTAAGGTTTATTCTACCTAACATCGAACTCCGTTCTTCGCGACTATCTAAGTTCGCTCCTGACTCCGTCTTTCGCCTTTGACCTCCTTGTGTATCGTCCACCGAAGTGCGAGTGGCGATCCTTGGTTGATCTAAGTCGATAAGAGTTAGTGGCTAACACGAAGGGAGGTGTTAGTGTACTTAAGAGTGCACGCTGACTTTCTGTGGGGGAGATAGCATGAAGCAGCACCTGTTGATTGCGACAGATAACACCAGGTATATCAGCCAGCTCTTCAAATCGGCTGACATATCGGCCTCTAGCCACACTTGTTTCTCCATATGTGGCATAATGAAGGGGGCCTTGATGCCCTGTCCTGGTCAAATGCAGCACCCAATGTGGAACATGACAAATTCCTCCCAGCCCAGCTTGGAGATCAATCAGAGATGAACAAAGAAGTTCAACTTTTCTACTCACGATGCATGATAGGACCCAAAGTTCAGGGGCAGCGTCCAGAAGACCAAGGTCAAATCCTTTGCTACCATTCGGCAGGCTCTCAGAGGTGCTTGCACAAGCTCTTGCCCTCTCCAAGAGGCTGCCCCATCTATCTTCCTCCACAAATGGAGCAGATAAGTTGGCAATGAGGTCCACATCCGGTGAATCGGTTGTTTTGTCCCAATCCTCCTCTTCAACAATAAAGTTATCTTCACCTTCATATTCTGAGTCAGAGGACTGGTCATCTCCATCATGAGCTACACTGGCTTCAAGATCCAGAAATGCAGACTGCAATCAGAGTGAGCACACCACATTGCACTTATACGACAGCAACATACCATTAACGTCACACGCGAGATGGGGTGGGTAGCTCTTCACATGTTTACAGCTGTCATTTTGTGTCAGTTTCAAGATTAGCTTAACAGTTTCATTGACCAGGATGTTTGAATGCAGTATTCATGGTGTCTTAATATACATACAAGCTCTGTATGTTAAAATTTGAAAACTTACCATACTACAAGTACAATGAACTTAAGTGGATCGAAAGGAAGAAAAAAAAAATCCACGTGACCTCTACCACTGTCTGGTATAGGGACATCGTTTAGATTATATAAGCTTTCCCTGCTTGGCTTGCAATTTTTAGTTGGTAGACATCAGATGTATGCCTTGATGTCAATCAATCATTTATGTGAATTATGAGTAGCGCAAATGCAAGAATGGATGTGCTGAATGTGTTTCTTAGTACTGCTATCTCCATCTCCATCTCCAAGCCCTTTGACCAACGACACACCAATGGAATGGCCAGGACATGACAATGACATGCTATGCAAAGAGCAGACTCATAAGCTCAATAGCATTGCTTCATTCAAGAGAAGGAAACCAGAGTACATAGTGGTAGCTTGTAAATTCACAATTACTGAGGCTATCCTAGCGTAACTGAGGAAGAGCTCCAAGCCAGATACCCGGTCATTCCAGAAGTCCCCAGGAAGAAGAGTAAAAGAGAGATTACAGTCCGTCAAAAACATGAAGGAGAGAGCAACGATGCATTTTCAAGGTGTTTGCGAGCCACAGAGAATAAATGGAAGAGGGATGTGCAACAGTACGTCTGCAGGTTTTCTCTGCATGAACCTTTGATGACGATGAGGGCAGATCTGAAGTAGAAAGTGAAGCTCCCGCTGCAGGTCCATCCAAACAGCAAAAGCGCACTGAGGAGGCTTCTTGGAACATTCCAAGCAATCCTGATCTACCTCCTCATGTTAGGGTTCGGTCTCCCTCCATCAAGACCATCAATAACCTATCAGCATCATGTTTGGCAGGACCATGTCCTGTTGTTGACATCCCTGCTTCTTCTAGCACTGACAAAGGGATCCAATGCGACCTCAGAATGCCCCCATGCCATGTAACAGATTTTGGTGTCAGTGCTTCTGGTGTATCCAACGACATGCCAACCATATCCTGGCATCAAATACGTATGCCTGGCAACTCTTCCATACCCCCGGCTCACGTTGTACTACCATACATTCCTGAAGGATCAGAAAATTTACTTCAGCACATGAGTCCTTCGGTTTCCTGGAGTTAAATCCATTCATATATCTACAGCATGCTGACAATTTTCGTAGCCAGGCCTCATGTCATCTCATTCTGGAAGATACCAACGAGCATATCATCTTTATACACCCACCCTTCCCAGACGATATGCAATTGATTAACACCATTCTCGAGCATTTAGCACACAATCGAGGTGTTAAACTAGAAGGATTTCGCAAACCAGACATCGTCAAGGCATTGACATCAGAGTACATGGCAAAGCATTGGAATGTTCAGCCTGCACAGCTCGTCGAGGTCCATGGTATGTGTTCTGCATGTTCAGTGTGCTCCTGCATCAAATCAGTGCCACAGATACGTTGCAAAGCATGAAGAAACCTGCTGACCCATTCAAGAAGATGCTGCATTCCGAGTTCATTGAAGGCGTCACTGATCCAACATGTAGTGAAAAGATCCTTGATGGTCCCATGTCACATCGAGGAGCCCCCCCTCCTTTTGGGTCCATGCCTTGTTTCTTGCTTTCTAATGCTGCTTCTGATGTGCAGATAGTCTCATGGATGACAGCTATGGCACTTGGAATAATATCTCATCGCAGTACAATTGGCCACATGGACTATCCAGAGAGCAATAGGCTGATATAAACTGGAGGCTTCTTCATCACGCCCTCACATGGACTGATGAACACCATGATGCAGATGGTAAGATTACGCTTATAGCCGCAGAACAAGGTTGCAAACTTTGGATCGCGATTTTACCTACGTGAGCCCTCTGTCGCAACGAGGTATACAAGTTTTACCATGACGCCCTCAATATCAATGAGCATGACAAACTAAGATGCGGACAAGATTTGTGTGTGGGATTTACTCTAGTTTTGCTACCAGGAGATTGCTAGTATGCCACTCTGTCTATTTGTAGAACAGCACTGATATGATGCTCCCTAGCTTCCAGCCTTCTGGTGCAGTCCACACCATATATACCCCAGAGCCTAGCTTCACCTGAGGAGCATCATTTTGGTCCTTAGCCACTATGCACCAAGTTGAAGTATCTTGTTTATATGACATTGAGGGAGGTATTTGGTTGACAAACCTTGACCACGATCCTGAACGTGTGTATGAGGCACTGGTATGTATGATGTTATACCTACCGACACACCCCGATAAGCATATGCACCGTTTTCTCAACATAGCTGCTCTTCACATCTGATGAGATCTTCAGCACTCTATAAATGGAGCCTAGCGTCCTTTTTGCTTATGGTACTGGACCCCATGTCATATGTTCCAACACATTGCAGAGCATATGGATTCCCCCTCAGCAAAGATCAGGCCGCTGAAAAAATTGTGTGTAGGCTTCATGAGCAGGCATTGTCCCATTCGTGGAAGAGAGTGGCTCATTGTTCCTGGGCTTCTCTGGCTCAGAATTATGCCAGAAGGGTCGTCATGTTCATTGGTTTACCTCATGTAGAGGATCTGAAAATGTTTCTGGAAATGGGTGTAGCACTCTCTGATCCTGGTGAAAAGATCTCTCTTTCTGGGGTTTTGAATGAGATATTGCAAGAACAGAAGAAGCAATGGGAACAAGAGGGAAAAAAGCGGCTTGAAGAAGATTGAAGAGGAAGAACAAAATCCCATAAAGGCAAAGGAGACACAAAGAGGATGGCAGAGCATGAGGAGGCCGAAGAAAATTGAAGAATCAGGAACTAAAATAACAGCAATGATAGAGTCATATACAGTAGTAGAATATTCATTACGAGATGTGTCGCAGTTCACTAATCTAGACTATCATGATCCTTGACGATATGTGAATCTATACTTATTCTCTGTTCAAAAGTGAAGTTCCAAACGACAAAGAACGATTACTGAGGTGACAACCTTTCCTATCTACTTGTTTGGCATGATGCTTCCTTCGGATTTTTTTGAAAAAAGTTACATTGACTTGTTTATGTAGATGGATGCCACGTGTTCGAATCAGTGAGTCCAAATGTCATCCTCACCTTCTGCTCCTTTGGGGAGTCTGAAGAAAAGGCACCTTTAAAAGTCACTTTCAGGACTTGATTGGGAGGTGAGCATGGCTGATGTTTGCAAGAGAGAAGGATGTAACATTGGGTGTTCAGGTATTGATCATGCTTTAACAGGTGCAAAAGCAAGGGGTACCTGGAAAACAAATTGTCAGAAAAAGTGTCGAAGCTTAATAAGGTAAATGAAATTATTAAGTAATACAATTGTGTGACAATGAGCTTTATCACTCTTATCAAACCGAACACCCCTAACAATGGCCGCTCTGTTCCTCAAAATGACAAAGTCTTAGCAGAATGTCTGGCGAAGTCACATAACTCAATGCCTTTCAGACCGGACTTTCATCTGGCAAGGCCTAGTCAGGCCACTGGCTGCCTTTCAGCATTTCAACCCTTATTGTGTCTAAAAAGCCAAATGCAGAAATTCCAACAAAAGAACACAACATTCTTGCAAGATTCATAACTAATTAGCATTGGGGTAGTTTGGTCAGCAGTTAGTAAGGACCAGTATGCCTCATAGATAGCTATCCAACATAATGCGGACGTCGCCCATGTTAGGAACACGGAATGCCTTTGTTTGTTTATGCTGCCTCTTCCATGTTTTTAGCAGAAGGAAGGAGATTTTATTAGTCGTCCATGCTCTTGAACAGAAATGTAATGACATTCATACTACAAGGAGATGTTTCAAACATTTGTTATGCAAGTTCTGCTTGAATTTCCATACAGAGTAATCTGCAGGATTGTTCTACCCAAAAAAGTGCATATAACTCTGATATCTCTCAGACTGTCTTTCCAGATGGATCTGTTCAATATATTCAACATTTGGTCCTGTAGCAGGTAGAGATCTGCCGATTATCATTGACACTTGCAGAATGTAATTTTTAGATATCTACCCATAGTACGGACATCATTATGTTTCTGTTCAGGAGCACCGACGACTAATAAAACTCACTTCCTTCCTTCCAAGTGGGCTAGATAAAAACATCGGTTGACAGTCCAAATCAGGTGACCTCCTCCCAACATTGAGGAAAATAAGCAAGCTTTAGAAAATGATGGAATCGTTGTACTTACGCGATTGTATGGAAGGACATGCTGAATGCATCGACCACCTATGATAAGCTTGATTTTGATAAAGGGCAGATAATTTAATCTGTCTGTATCACCTGCAGGCCAGATGGCAGCTGCAGCTCTAAAGACATCAGAAACCCCATGTCGAATGTCCTATACATATCTGGAACAGGCGGTGTTATACTCAGGCTCTCAATAGTACACAACAGTCTAACCGCAATATATATGCCTTTGTTCGGGCTCCCACGGAGCTGTGCAGTGAAAATCCATTGTGTCTGGGTAGTTACTGTGAGAATGTCTGGATGGATTGAGTGGCTGACGAGGACAGGGCTTCCACACAGCTGGTGGATGGAATATTCTATGCTGTTGATGGCCATTCTGTGCAGATCCCTGAAAGCCCAATCTCGAAAGTTTAGGTGTTCGTCGCATCCATGAGCGAGAATGTATGAGCTGAATGGCTCTAGAATACTACTGTCAGGGAAGTATTCCTGACTGTGATCAACAGCGTTGTCGAAGGAGAGATCCTCAGCTAAGATTCCCACACCAGCCCTTGTTTCCCTTTCAATCTTGTAGTACTCTTCAATGAGTTTGGGTGCTTGCTTGTGGATATCAGGATCCCCTTTAAATATCACGAGGAAATTAGATGCTTGTGTGATGGTACATGTGAATGTAGACTCCCAGTTCACCTGCAGTATGTGCTCAGCAGCGAGGGGAACA